TGAATTTCAGCGTTTGAATGACTGCCGCTATCTGTATCCATGGATAACTGGAAGGACCTGGAAGAATCCTAATGGGTTTAATGGGCCATTGGTGGTTTTCGCCCAGTGTGTATTTAGACACGCGTGGGTTCCTCTTACAGATAAGCAGATGTCCCCCGGCAGAGGCGATTCGGGCGGCTGCAGCAGCATCGCGGAGGAAAGAAAAACACATTTGGGGGCTCAACAACTGGGAAGCGTCTTCCTACTTTTCTTGCCTCCAGGAGGCAGGGAGGCCCGGAAGCAGAGCAACTATACAGCCATAGGGGCACCGCTCCCAGTGGGGTGATGGTGGTGGTGATAGAACACAGGATCCCAAGTTCAATCTTCAGGTGGAAGATTGGAAAGAATCCTCCCTGAGATCCCTAACAGACTTTGCCACCTTGAGTCAACCGTAGGGATGCTGACAAGCCTACGGTTTGGCTCAGCGATCCGGCAGCTTCTTGTTAAATCAGCTCTTTGTCGAAAAGCATGAGGACTAGAATCTTTATCTCCAGCTAAATGGACCACTCGTTCTGTCTGAGACCTTGGAACAGGAGTAGCTGGTGGCTTTGATTTCGTAAGGGTGATGAATTCTCTTCTGGTTTGGGGTGTGTGTGTGTGGAGCTGTCCACAGTGCTGAACGGCACCCCCACCCCATAGCCCCTCAGAGACACACTCTGGCGCCTGCCCGTTCATGCTGGGAAGGCTGGCTCAGGTGGACCTCCAGCCAGACACAGTTCAAGGGGGTTTCCTTGGTTCCTAATGATCTAGAACTTGGGGGGGCAGCTCTTCGAAGCTAGAGACAGCAAGATGGGGGGAGCGGAGAGGAGATCTGGGATGACGGGCATGGAGGGCAGAGGAAAGGGGGTGTATCCTGACCTCCCGGCCTGCACCTCTAGATCCACCAAAGCCTTGGACCCCTGGAATCTGCCTTTTCCAGACCGGCGCCCACCTCTCTAGAAGACAGAGCAGGACGTTGTCTCAGTTCCACCTTACTAAACCAAGCCTAGGAGCTGATGAATTATGGGAAATGTAGTCCTAGGAGGAACGACAACGCCGTTTTTGTACTGTCCCCTACGGTCTTTCCTGAGGCGGATTTGTTTGCTGGTTGGCAGGAGACAGTGGCTAGGCTAAAATAGGTCATGCCGGCCCTACGGTTAGGCAGTGGAGTGGGCCTCTCAGGGGGATGATGGTCGGAGGGGGCAGCAAAGACGTTCAAGGAGTGAACCGCCGAGGAGATGGTCTGTACTGGATGGACAATGGTCAGCACTAAAAAAAAAAGTTTAACACCCTGTCCAGGGAGCATTTGTGCAATGAATGGGTGGGTGGTTCTATCGTTGTGTTTTTTTTTATTATCTCGTACAGCAGAATCTCTTGGGCTTTCAATGTGCCCATGGAGAGGAATCTGCATACCTAAGAAACATGTTTCTCCAGCAGAACAGGGCCGTGAGACCTCTAGATCTCCATCGCCACTGTTGTTAACGTGGAGAAAGCTGGAGAAGTTACTTTTTGGGGGGGATTACAAGACATTGGGAGATTAGAGTGGGCATAACCCCCCCCCATCCAAAAGTGAGTTGTACGTGCTCTGAAAAAAATGGCTGAACTTTCAGAAGAGGCTTTACTGGAGCTGCTTAACGTGCTGTGGCATTTCTGCTGCAGTTGATATTTGATTAGTGCTTAACCTCCCCCCACCCCACCCTGCCAGCAAAACTAATTCAAACAAATCCTACGCGTTCCCCCAGAAAGGACACCAGAAATATAATGGGAAAAGTGACTTTTCTTCGGAAGAACACCAGAGGGAACTCAGCATGTCCCAAATGACATTTTTAAAAGATGGCTGGTAGAAGCGCATTTATGGGAAAGCATTTACGAAGTCCACCGGGGATGAATCTGGAATCCCGTGGGTTTGGAAGGAATCTTAATACTCGGCTGTCGGAGAGGGAGCGTGTCACAGCCAGGGATGTGCGGCTTATGTTGGAAATACGACAGACTGACTTCTTTGCTGTAGTTCTGAGTTGTTCTGAGCTGGTTTTACCTCCGCGCCAGCTCCCCCTGTTCGCCCTATCTCAAATGAGAATGTGGTGGACATAGACACAGAGTTACGGCCCGGCCCTAACATTAGGCGGAGTGAAGCTGATGCCAAGATGTGGCTGCATGCCACGGGAGATGCACAATCATTTCAACTGATGGAGTCTTGGGTTCTTCCCTTCCAGGCCCCTTCTAGAAGCCACCGCTTTGACACCACCTTTGGCCCAGGGCACAATAAAACAGTATTTCTGCTGGAAAAGAGGTTGATTAGACCTGGTTTAATTTTGGCTGCCCAGTTTTCCTTTGTGGCTCCTGACGAAGTTCTGTTCCGGAAGGCAGAGGGGTGCTCTTGCAAAAAGGATGAGAATCAGCAAAATTCAGACTCATGTTATGCTGGGGGTGGTTAAAATCTCCATCCAGCCTTTCCCATCTTCTAAAAATTAGCTTTCCTGAAATGCAATGGGTCTAAAAATAAAGGGACAGATGGGTTGACGAGTGTCAACCTCATATACCGGGTTGGACGTCCCTGATCTCATTTGATTCCCCAAACTGAGCAGGGTCTGGCTTGTTTGGCAACGGGATGGAAGACTGCAATGGACCATCAGGGACCTCTAGGTAGAGTTGGGGCTCAATTCGAACCCTGAACAGCTGCTGCAGCCACCAGAATGTCCAATACTGGTCTAGACAGGCCACAGTTTCAACCCATCATGACAGGGATATTTCTGGACAGAGGGCTCTGTCTCTCTCTTGTTCTGTTCCCCACATCTCTTGAATTCTTGTGGGTCCAGGACTTCAGCATACAAGTAGGCTTCTGTCCCCCCCCCATGCATGCGACCGATTCTTCCCCATAGAAAATTAAAGGAAAGCCCAAAAGCTCCAGTTTCATCCACTAGCAGGACCC